AATTACATAATAAATTAACATATCAATTATCTATTTCCAATTAATATATTAATCATATAATATATTAACAGATTATTTATCTCTCTTGCTCCTAATATCATTTCTAGCTATTTCTGGTTATGAGGGCAACCCAAAATGAACTTTGCTAATAATTCAATATTATACTAATTTAGTTATTGGCTTAGACACCCAATCCAACATAGATAACATCATATAATAATATTAAAAGTATCATTGCTAAGACGATAAAGAATAATAATACCTAATGCTCTGTAGGGATTATAAATACACTAGAATTAGGTTAGTGTCACCCAATAATAGATTTGGTATTAAGGTTAGTTACAAACACTGTAATCTAATCTATGGATAAACTTAGACTCATGGAAGATACCTAGCTCAATTAAGTTTGATATTAGGTAGTCTCATTAGGAGAATGTGTGTAGCCTAAAAACAGAGAGTAAAGTTCTGTTCTATGACACTATCAGGTGTTGATGTACGGTAGCTCTGTATGGGATGAACAGAAATGGTGGGTCTCGATCAGGAAACTGTTAGCGGTATGTCTGGTCACCCCCACAAAGTAGGTGACAACACTTGATCATTCTAAACGGTCTTGTGAATTACGTTGCTAGTGTGAGCTCATTACTCACAGACGTAGATGAAATGGAAAACCATATTCATCAAATACTCTGACGACCCATAAGCCTTTGTGACTTACAACGGCAAAGGAAGCCCTAGCTGTGTAGTTAATCTAAACGATTCATCAGGCGAGATAACTTCTCTCTGATAATCACTATTTAGGATATGTGAGGATCGATAGAAATGGGTAGTCTAGGATCTGTGAGGATCGATAAAAAGGGATAGTCTAGGATCTATGAGGACCGGTAGGAATATATATGTAGGAATGTAAGTCTATATGGTTATTGTATGGTAATGATTGGTTTGCAGGTCTGATAATTATGGAATATTATCATATCAATATTGTGGGATTGAAATCCCTATGCATTTCACCAGGTTTCTGCAACCTAACCCACTCAATTTAAAGGCATATCAGGTATCAAGACTTAAGCCACTGGAACTTGATTAGGATTCTGAGTGATTAAGAGATAGCCTGCAATAGTATTCAGGACCATCAAATTTTTATATTGTAACTTATGTATATGTATTAATTATGATATCTTTAAGGTTTTAACAATTTGGAAACAAACATTTGTAATCAAAATGATCTTTTGTACTGTGATTTTCCGCAAATATAAATAAATGATTTTAAAAGCGTAAAGAAAAGTTTTAATTTTTTCTGAAAAATAGGGGATGTCACAGTGTGTTGGGCGGGGCCCATCGCATGTTACGGACAGATCTGTACTGGGCGAGGCCCGATGGATGTCAGGTGAGACCCATTGTATGTATGTTATGTAGTATTTTAGGGAAACTCACTAAGCTTTATGCTTACGATTTAAGTTTATGTTTCAGGTACTTCCAGCTCAAAGGGGAAGGACCCGACTTGATCATAGCGCATCCACCAATGTTTAGCATATTTAAGATTTTAGGATTGTACTCTGATAACTATTTTCACATTGGCATACATTTTTATGGTTGATATGAATATTTGATGGATTTTGGTTGACTTAAAAATGAAAATTTTTATTCATGATTTTTGGGATGTTACAATCTATGTTGACGACGTCATAATCGTTGGAAACGACTTGAAAAATATTGAAGACACCAAGTCAAAACTTGATGATAGTTTCAACATTAAGGATCTTGGGAATTTGAAGTACTTCTTGGGAATCGAAGTAGCATGTACGAAGGAGGGATTGGTTCTAAGTTAGAGAAAATACACAATTGACATCTTGGAGGATGTTGGTTTACTTGGTTATTGACCCAGTCGGTTCCATATGGAACAAAACCTAAAGCTAGATAAAAGAAAAGAAGAAGAGCGAGTCGATGTTGCCATGTATAGACGTCTGGTTGGTAGACTTCTGTATCTTCAGGCAACCAGACCTGACATTACTTACGGTACTTATAGAGTGAATACTTCTACCCAAGAAATGAGGGAGTGATTTAATGGCCTATAGTGACTCAGATTGGTTGGGATGTTCATTCTCAAGAAGATCACTGACTGGATACTTGTTGATTTTAAGGGGTGCTCCAATTTCCTGGAAGTCCAAGAAGCAGTCAGTTTTTTCAAAATCCTCGGCAGAAGCTGAGTACCGGGTGATGGCTACCACGGTTAGTGAAGTACTCTGGACGACATGGTTGTTGACAAAGTTTGATATTAAAATGGACAAGACAACACCTCTTTTGTGTGACAATGAGTCGACTCGTCACATTGCTCATAATATTGTATTTCATGAGCGCACGAAGCACGTGGAAATGGACTATTACTTCGTAAGACAAAGGGTAGAGTCAAAGGAGATAGCTCCGATAAGAATCCATACAGAAGATTAGTTGGCCGACTTAATAAGTAAGTCACTGGGTTCAGAACGTATCAAGTTACTATCAAGCAAGTTGGGCATTCGTAATCTTCATGCTCCAACTTGAGGGGGGGGGGTAAAGGAACCGATATTATCATATTAGGATAATCATAAGAAGTTTTATCTGTCATTATCTTGCTGTTACATTTATCTATTGTCATATAGGATAATTGCTAATTTGAATTGTTGGTTCAAGTCCATATATAAAAGGCACCGTACGAATACTCTGTATTGAGTTTTTTTTTCAATTAATAAAAAAATGTTTTCTAGTTATCTAAATTCGTTAAAACTATATTATTGAATCACCAACATTTAAAAGAAATTTGAATCATGTTGTTGTTAAATAATGTAGTCTTTTTAATGATGAATTTTGACAATGACTATAATCAATGTGTTATGGTCTTCCTTAACAAATGATATTTAGTTTTCTTCGACATGATTTTGCTTAAGATTCTATAAAGATCGTGGTGCCATTTGTATATTGGAACCACTCTTATCTACCTCTCTAATAAATGAAACCTAAAAATGACACGTGTCAGTTTTTCAGAATGTCTCTTTGACACGTGACATTTTTCTATGATTTTTATTATTTCCTTTTTTTGGTAATAAATCTAATTCAATTCAAAATTTGAAAATACAAAATAATATCCTAATAACATTATTATGTTTATTTCGCTTAACAAATTAATTCATAATTACTTACAATCGACAATATCTTGGTTTTTTTACATTTATTATTTTTTTATCTATATAAAATTTTTAAATATACCGACCGTGGTTTCCACGGGTTATAACCTAGTTTATATATACAAGATTAAAATGATCATTAAACTCTAATAATATCATACTTATTAAACTCTAATAATATCATACTTATGACATCTAACTAAAACCTAATAAATATATATGCAGTCAGTGGCGAGTCTAGAACGTAAAACCATATGGTTCACTATTTAAATTAAACCAATATAAAATGAAAAAAATCAACAATACTAGTTGTGGATTCGGATTGGGTCGAGTCGTATAAACCAAAAAAAGATTTAAAGTTCTTACAATTGTACCCGATGATGAGTGTTGTGCCTAATGGTGATCGTCGATTATGAAGACAAAAGTTGGAATAGAGGAGTGAAGACGAAACGTTGTCCCCTAATGCCTCCTTCCGTTCACATGACTTTGGCTTCTTTTTTTTTTCTTTTCTTTTAAGCTGTATTGGGCTACGTTTGCCAAAAATATTAGGGTAGTTCACTCAAAATATTTAGGGTAGGTCACCAATTTTAATTCTATGTACATTATTATAAAAACTAAAAAAATAGGTGGGTCAAGTGACCCACCAAAGACATACTTACCCTCGCCACTGTATTATGCAGTGTCTTAAGTATATGCTTATTGCCTACATTAATGGTTAGTAATTTCTAATAAAAGACCTTTATAATTAAAACTTTTAATAATCTTCCACTTGGGGCTACATATGTTTGGAACTATTTTGCAAAATTAATTAGATGTATTATTATTCATTTTCATTTTATACTTTTAAAAGAATCATCCATCTTATATATAAATATAGAACCAACACAGTTTGAATATTATTTTTTTAAATGATAACTAAATCACCATGATATACATATACACTCATTAACATGGATCAAATATAGACGAAAATGACGTGCAATCCAACATTATGTATGTCAATTTCCAATCTGTCCAACTATAGTCTTTAGGATTTAATTTTGGTTGTTTATTCAACATATATATTGCAAGTTCTTGAATTCAAGGAAGAGAAATATGATCATGTTTATTTTAAAGAATATCGTAGCACAATAGAATACATATAGTACATAAGTATTCATATAACCAATATATTATCTAAAATAACACCATACAAGTAGCGTGCTGATCAAACACCTTATGTGTTAAACCTGTAGGTAGTGGATATACTCGCAGTAAATTAGTTCATATGTGTTATATATAATTTTTAATCATAAACTCTTTTATTGACAATCAGAAACTTGATGTTGATAAATTCCAAATTATTTTAGCTACTTTTGTTATGGGATAAAGTAGCTCAATTATTGTCACGAGAATTCTGTAATGGTTTGTCAACGCCATCTACTACTCTTAATTTAGTGACAAAAATTTACTGAAATACCTCAAAACAAGCTATGAACTCAACTAACATGTTTGACATGGTTATAAGTTTCTATTTAGCATATACTTCCATGATATAACTTTTGTATCCAACATATCATGATGTTGATGATGTTGAGTGTTTGTTGTCTTTGTATCCAATAAAGCTTAGATTTAGAAAAAAACAAGGACCTTCAAAAGTCTATAATTTATGATAAGTGAGCATATAGCAAGTATTTTGTTCTTCGCATCATATCTTTTTCCACCATCTAGTTTTTTATATATATGAATTATGCAAGTATCTACTGATAACTCTCATTATGAATGCAGTTTCAGGATGACTATATACTCGAGTATACATAAGGCTTCATGCTACTGATATACAAGGTATCTTTTGTGTCTAATTCATTTCACACCGGTGCTCGTTTTGCTCGGCTCTCCTTTACACCGTGGCAAAGGGGGCCCGCATAAATCAAGATTTCCGGCATAGCTGTCGGCTTTAATATTCGGACCAAAATTCGGGACCGGGCCCGACAAGAGATTATTTGAAACATTGAATTCCTTAATCCGACTGAGCCCGCCCAATTCATACGGGATCCGACCCGTGAACCGGTTGTTATCGAGTTTAAGAACATTAAGAAACGAAATATTTGAAATGCTGACCGGGATTTCTCCCGATAAATTGTTTGATGATAAATCGAGAGTTGTGAGAAAGTGAACGATATCTGTCATGTTCGTGGGGAGGGGCCCGTTTAGGCGGTTGTTGGAAAGATCTAATCCGGTCATTGAGGTACAGTTCTTGAGTCCAATCGGGAACCCACCAATCAACCCCATCTCAGAAAGGTAGATATTTAGGACTTTGCTTTCATCAGGATGCCAACATTCGATTCCTGCAAATCTGCAAATGAATCCTTCGGTGCTGTCATTGAAATCCCATGATGATAACAGGTTTTCGGGATCTCTGAGTGATGCTTTAACGGATTTTAGGCAATTGATGTCACTTTCAACCGCATTGCTGCAAGTGATGGATATAAGAATGTCGAGACACACACTGATTACTGTTATGCGATTCCATTCCGTTGTCATTGTACAAGAAACCTGTGGGTTTAGGAATCGGAAACCTCGGTTCCCAAGAAACATACCTAGAAAGAAAGATAGCAAAACAAACAATATATGTTCAGATGTTTTCTTTTTGACTTTCAGCACTAATATATGTGTATTTTCTTTAGATTGTGCAAAGTAAATAGTAACAAAATATTCTGCTTACAAATTTTGTCTAAAATCGTTCGTCCTTGATAACCCATATGAATTCTAAATTACAAGATGGATTACAAGAATAACCAATTTGGGACAAATCGTACAAATGTAAATGCCAACCTAAAAGTTCTGCTTCACGATTTCTTCTAAAGTCGTTCAGTCATGTAAAGTGATAATAAAGTCAACTACGAGTTTTTGAAAAGTCGATCACTCCAAAACAACAGATAGCAAAAAAGAACAAATATCATCGATCTTCATCGCCTAAACCTCAAATTCGTCAAAGGAGCAGTGCCCTTACTCGATACTTCAACGAATTACAATAATATACTCGCCCAATTGAGATATCATAAACCCTAATCATAGAACACATAAATCAAAACTACAAGATCACTATATTCCCACAAAATTAGCGACACAGCCGGAAAGCAAAACAATATCATCTACCAACAAAATGAAAACCCATATGAATTCCATCAAATTTAGCATAAATTTAATAACTAGAGCAACTAAAACGAAACGAAATGACAAAGATGAAAAGTTTACACAGTGGAATTCAAGATCTTGAGTAGGAGGAGCTTTCTCTAACATGTATTGATGATAAGAGCGGAATGATTCAATGGGTGTAGTATAAACTTGGAGCTAATCAGGTCAAAGAGGAATTGGGAGTAATTTGGACGGGGCCGGCAACTCTCCGTACGACCCGTGGACCCGCAACAACACCAAATAAATGGGTTTGGGTTGAGTTTTTCAACCCGCCAACATGTTTATGAAACGGGTCATATATTAGTTTCTTAAAAAATAAACGGGTTGACCTGTCAACCCGTTTATATTTTTAATAAAAAAATATTTTTTAAATGTATTTATGTATCAAGTATTAATATTTAATAAGTAGTATATAATATATACCATTGATTCATAGACCATTTGACTGTTTTGACATTTTGACTCGTGGTGGATGGTCTAAGATCGTAAGTCGTAACCTGTAAGGCTAAGTCTGTAACCATTTTGTCAATTTGCCCTAAATAATAATCTCAAAATCAAATCGCGTATGAGCGTATCTCCCTCTTCCAGACTTCCAGTCTCCCACAGTCCCACTCTCCCCTCTGTTACTCTATGATCGAAATTAGGTATCAAAATGGTGTTGGAGAATTGACTTTGTTTTTTGGGAGAAAAAAAAATAGGAATTATGACAATTACTTTAGCACTTGAATTATCTATGTTTGTATTAATGTTTAGTTTAAACATGTTTCTATGAATGTTTTTAATTTTCATTTGGATGTTTAAGACTTAAGTGTCTAAAATTCAGATATGTTTGCATCAACCATCAAGAATTTATTCATGTTTAATTGTCAAATTTATTTATGGAATTTGACCCACGAACCCAAATCTGACCCACGAACCCGCCAACCTGTGAACCCGTATAAATAAATGGGTTGGCGGGTCATATATGGGTTTATGTTCCAAACCCGCCAACCCGTGACCTGTATATTTAAATGGGTCGTGTTTGGGTTGACATATTTTGACCCGTCAACCCGCGACACGCCAACCCGAACACGACACGATTGTCAGGCCTAAATTTGGACCCAAATTTGCAATTGATGGTGTGGTTTAGGTTAATTTATGGCTAATGGCTAAAATATCTAAACGGAATATATTATAATCACTGGTTTCGATTTTTTTTTTGTTTTTTTTGGTAAAGAAAGAAACATTCAACGAAATCTTTAATTATCTCATGTTTTGCAACGCATTGAGTTTTTACACTCCTTACAAATTACAAATCCCATAATCTCATCTCTTGTATCACATTTGGCTTTAAAAAAAAGAACACTCATGTGAATCTAGTGAACTTGTCGACTATCACTAGTGTGTATTTTTTTTCCAGCTAAACTAACAACATGAACCGGCATAAACAAATCAATGCACCGAGTTGTGATTGAAAAATCTTTATTTGAAGTAAAAGATGTTTTATGTTGTTTCCCCGTTTAGCAAAATAAAAATCACAGATCAAAACCATATTATTGAATCACCAACATTTAAAAGAAATTCCAATCATGATATGTTGTTAAATAATGTCGTCTTTTGGATGATGAATTTTGACAACGACTATAATCAATGTGTTACTGTATTCCTTAACAAATGATATTTACATTTGTATATTGGGAACCACTTGCAATAAATATACTTATGAAATTTAAATAAAACCTAATATATATATATATATATATATATATATATATATATATATATATATATATATAGAGAGAGAGAGAGAGAGAGGTTCATTTGTTTAAAGTAAGTATTGTGTTATTGTATGCATAAATATGAGCAAATCATTTCAAAAGGGTAAATATGTAATCTTACATTTAATTAATTATGGTAAATATATAAATCAATTAATATCTCTTTAATTTAGGAATATCAGTTTTAAAACCTAATATATATCCTCACGTCCGCCTCTTCTCTCTTCTCTTCTATTCATCGTCGCCCCCAACCTTTTCCCTCTCATCTCCCTCTTGTACACCATCAGTAACCATCGAGAAACCTTCATCAGATTTATCATCTTCTTCCTTTAAACACCACCGATTTCAGAATCGGGAAAAACTATTTACCCAATCGAGGTCTTTTAGATCCAGATTATTGCCCATCATAACTCTATGTTTTACCAAAAGAAACACCATTGTCATCTCCAGAACCAATCGCAACTCTTATTTCCCCAATTTTATGGCAGGTCTGTGATCATCAATTAAAAAATTTTATCTGCCTGAAACTTTTATGCAGGAAATTTAGGGTGGATTCATTCTGTTGCAGCTAAACAATCTGGATTACACAGGTGGATTGAAGAAGATGTTGACACAGTTGGGCGGAGGCACATGAGGGCTAGGGCAAGCCCAGGCCCACCCTCAAAATTAATTTTCAATTTTTTTACTAGCCCAGGTTCCAGACCTACCCTCTTTCATACTTCAAACCCGTTGAATTAGGAAGTCGGAAACCCAAAGTAGAAGTCAGCGTTGCGTATGTAAGAGAAGAAAAACAACAACGTCAAATCAGAAGGTAGATTCGGAAGTTTGATTTTTGCTTTTGTTTCTTCGTCGATCGTTCCAACGATGGAGTAATGCTCGCCGGAATGATGAGATTTCTTCCTGTGGTGAATCGGAAACGAGCAATTCAGCGCCAAATCAATGTTCCTGACTTGTAGAAGCATCTCCAGTCCCCTTCGTGTTAGGTTTGATTCTATATTTTTTTATCTCAACTTTTAAGAGGTTGTACTTTTTCGTGGTTGTTAGGTGTAGAGTATTGCTCTATATGGAACAAAAACAGTTTTTCTACTTGCAAACTATATGACGATCAACTCTCCTACACTATTGCTCTCTTGTTCTTGTAAGGTTTGTTAATCAAGAATCACTACTCTAGATACAAACTAATTGTATAAATCAATTGTTAAGTGTATTTGTTTATCAACAGGTGACAGGTCACGCGTGATGCTAATGGAACTACTTAAGGATCAGGCTTTATTGCATTTTCCACTTCTGAGAAAGCTTCTAGAACAGTAAGCAGATATTTGCATTTACTATTTTTATTATATTCGAATAGTATATGTAAAAAGTTAAAATTTTGTATCTAATTTTATAGTTGAATGAGATGAATGGAAAGATGGTTGCTAGCAAGCCTCTTTATGTTGCGTTTTCTCAACACAAAGAAATCAGAAGGGCAAGATTGCAGGTTTGACTGCTTTTTTTTTGTATACTGGATTTGTTGCATATATAGAAAAACTGAAAAAATATTTTAGCAGTTAAATTTGATTGCTTGCAAGCCTTTTTATGTTGCACTTTTAGTTATTTCTTGTTATGAATTCCAACAAGCTATAAAAACAAAAGTTTTTAATAGTTAAATCACATAGAAAAACTAAAAAAGTATTTGAGTGCTTAAATATGAACATTCATCCTGTTGCATTCTAATAGAACTTTTGGTGCTATTGGAACTAGTAAACTCAATTCATAGTTTTTGGGTATGCCAAAAGGACTTGGATTTTGCAGACCAACTTCAAGAATTGGACCTAGTAGTTACAGTTTAAGAACAACATTTATTTATTATTCTTTTAAGAAAAGTTAGTTTCCTTTATTAGGTTCAAAACATGAAAACATTTCTTTATTATTCTTTTAAGAAAAGTTAGTTTTCTTTATTAGGTTCAAAACATGAAAATGGAACTGTCCCATTTATTTTTGAAAAATTCAATGTCAAATTGAAACCTTTTTAAGTTGGATGTTTTTGTGTTATTTACTGTGTTTTTTTGTAATGATGACAGTAGAACTGTAAGTAAGGTTTTGAAAACCAACATTCTTAAAGAATATGAACTTGGTAAAGATTCTAATATGAACTATTATGCAATAATGTAACATTGTTATTTTTTATATCAGTATATTCTGTCAAAATTACTATAATTTGTTTTATTATTTGTCATATTAAATCATTCTCACAGATTTTTATTCTACATAATTCGATTTGCAGTTATTCTCATAGAATGTGTGAAGGGAATGTGATGATCAAAGGCTTCAAGAAGTTTTTTTAATCAAAATATGTATAATTGTATTAAAATATATAAGACTATTATTCTGTAAGAATATGTATGAATCAAATTTCTGTAAGAATATGTATGAATCAAATTTCTGATGTTGGTGAATATATAAGGATCTTGTTATTTTTCAACTATGGTTCAAGATTGTTGTCTTTTTTTAAGAAGTTTGTTTAATAAATATATGTATTATGTCAGAAATGTGTATCCTAGCGTTCTTATAAAATATTATTCTAACAAAATATCATTCTAACAGAAT